GTTAAAGCTGATGTAAAAAAACAAATTTCTGTACATTATCATTGCACATTTGTTTATTAATGATTTAAGCTAAAAGTTATCAATATGTTCAATAAATAGGTGACTTTTAACATTGGTCGTTATACTGATTCAATTCAAAATGAGTGGGATTCTTTGAGGCAACATGATGTGTTGTTCTTGCTTACAATTCAAGCACACGATGGTACAGCGGATAAATACCGCGATGACTTACCATTCAGGTTCGTCGTAGTACAATTCTGAAGTACATATTAAACATATATAATTATAAAGTTTTTTATATAACAAAAATAGATCGCATTTTGGTTTAAAGTATGTCAGAGGATGCGAAATAATTGAAATTATTGGGGATGATGGTAATTCTTAAATTTTACATTCTGTGATTGTAAATTTTTTTTTTTTTTTTTTTTTTTTTTTAAGCGATATATTTGTGTTACAGGTAAACCGATTGAAGAAGTTAGTAAGCCAAGTGTAGAAGAAAAGACTAAGATTTCAGGAAACACGAGAACCCTTCGTGTGTTGTTGGACACAAATCAATATAAAGTATTGTGTTGATTTTTTAATAATTTTTATAAAATGGATAAATTCTTAATATTGAATTAAATACTATAATATACTTAACAGATTGATATGAACAAATTTGCAAATACCAAAGAGGAGGACGTGTATGAAACATTTAACGTGCTGATGAGAAGAAAACCGAAAGTATGTTTTTAATCAACTAAATCATTGCTATTACTGGTATTGTTGATGTTCTGGAAAATTATTTACAAAAATTAATTTTGTAACTTAAGGAAAACAATTTTAAAGCTGTGCTTGAAACGATTCGTGACTTGATGCAAAGTGAATTGGTTGTACCAGATTGGTTGCATAATATTTTTTTGGGTTATGGTCTTCCTGGTAGTGCTCATTATACTATGATGCCAAACCTACCAAAAGAAATTGACTTTAGAGATACTTTTTTGGATTATGATCACCTTGTCGATAGTTTTCCTGGAAAAGTATTTATATTTAATATTTCTATATGATTACTATTATCAAATGATGTGATTAAATTATTTAATGGTTTTATACAATGTAAAGAAAATAGTTCCAATGAAGGATTTTGAAGCACCATTTTCTCCTCCTTATGTTCTTCAATTTCCTGAATCTTCTAATAGCAATGATTCAGCTGATTCTTCCAATTCCAAACAAGATGAAGGTACGATTATAGTACGTACATACAGCATACCAAATATGGGACCTTACCCTTTCAATCTACCGAAGAAAAATACAATAAGGTTCACTCCAGTTCAGGGTAAGTGTCAATGTTAAACAAATGGTAGTTCCTCATAATATGTTTCTGAAAGCTTTACTACCTTAATTATAGTGGAAGCCATTAAGTCAGGAACAAACCCAGGGTTAACATTAATTGTTGGCCCACCGGGTACCGGCAAAACAGATGTAGCTGTTCAAATTATCGCCAACCTTTACCACAATTTTCCTGATCAGCATACATTACTGGTTACTCATAGCAATCAAGCTTTGAATCAATTGTTTGAAAAGATAATGGCACTTGGTAATTAACAAGTTCTTAATATACTATAGTTTTTAATGTGCATTATCAACATCAGTCATTAAATATCGATCTGGTCATTATACATTCAGATGTGGACGAGCGTCATCTACTTCGCTTAGGTCATGGTGAAGAAGAATTAAATACTGAACTAAGTTTTAGTAAATATGGTCGTGTTAACTCATTTTTGGTGAGTTCACCATTATTAATATTATTACATGCGCAGAGTTCAAATTATTTATATTATTTCTTTTTTATTAATTACAGGAGAAACGACTCGCGCTGCTTTCTGAAGTAGATCGTCTTTCTCAGTCATTAGAAATTGGTGGTGAGCATGGATATACGTGTGAAACTGCCGGATACTTTTATTTGTATCACGTTTTATCAAGATGGGAACCTTATATAGATAAATGTAGACAAGGATTAGAGAATGGCAATGTCAGTGTAGAGACAATAAGAAACGAATTTCCTTTTAGTAATTACTTTTATAATGCTCCACAACCACTTTTTCCGGAAGATGCTAATTATGCTGAAACACTAGAGATTGCTGAGGGATGCTTTCGACATATCGAAAAGATTTTTACAGAGCTTGAGGAAATTCGTGGATTCGAGTTATTGCGAACAAGTTACGATAGAGCTAATTATTTGTTAACTAAAGAAGCTAAAATCATTGCAATGACTTGTACGCATGCAGCACTCAAGGCAAGTAGATAATATTTTATCCACAAAGAATTTCGACTGTTTAATTGATTTTTTAGTTTCTATGAATCAAGACGGTCGAAAACATTTTGGAAGGTGGTATATACTCAAAGAAAAAATTTTAATACAAGTTAATGTTTATGACATTGTAGCGACGCGAGCTATCTTTATTGGCATTCAAATATGATAATGTCGTGATGGAAGAAGCAGCTCAAATATTAGAAGTGGAGACTTTTATCCCTTTACTTTTGCAAGAAACTGAAGATGGCCGAAGTAGATTAAAAAGAGTAGTTATGATTGGAGATCATAATCAATTACCTCCTGTTGTTAAAAATATGGCATTCCAGCAATACGGCAATATGGAGCAGAGTTTATTTACTCGATTTGTCAGACTCGGAGTTCCTACTATTGATTTAGATTCGCAGGTATGATTTTTAATGATTCAGAAATCCCCCCTTCAAATCTAAATCATTACGTACGAATAAATTCAGGGTCGTTCGAGACCGTCAATTGCGAAATTGTACAATTGGAGATATAAAAATTTGGGAGACCTACCGTCTGTTACTGAACAAGAGGAATACAAATATGCAAATTCTGGGTATGATATCTTTATCAATTTTTTATCCTAAAATCTGTATGTCACAAATTGACATTGTTCACGTTTATTCGCAAAGATTTGTCTACGATTATCAAGTAATAAATGTCGACAATTATATGGGCAAAGGTGAGACCGAGCCCGTCCCATATTTCTATCAGGTATTTATTCTTGAATTGTATTATCATGATCATTTTAATTTTTATTTAGCTCATATACCTTTGTTAGAATCTTGGAGAAGCGGAATTCATTGTTGCGGTGTATCAATATATGCGATTATTAGGGTATTGATATATGTACATTTCTGTTCGTTTTATGCACGTTTTTCATTTATCCTGAATTAACAAGTAATATTCATAAAGGTACCCATCGGATAAAATTTCCATTTTGACTACGTATAATGGACAAAAAGCTTTAATAAGAGACGTATTAAAGCAACGGTGTTCTTGGAATCCTTTGTTTGGTCGTCCAGCCAAAGTGACCACTGTTGATAAATTTCAAGGACAGCAGAATGACTGTAAGCATCCTCTTAATTTTTGCAATTTTCATATTTTTTTATTAAAATGTATATTTCTTCTGGTTTAGATATTCTTTTATCTTTGGTACGAACAAAGTCTGTTGGACATATTCGAGACGTAAGACGTCTTATTGTTGCAATGTCTCGTGCTCGATTGGGATTATATGTTTTCTGTCGTCTTGCTTTATTTAAAAACTGTTATGAATTGACACCGACATTCGATGAATTGTTAAAACGCCCTACTAAATTGAGTCTGAAGATTAACGAGATGTGGCCTTCAAAGAGAAATGTATATAAAATCTTTTTCTTTTAAAGATACAACTTATAAATAGTACAGCGATTAAATCTAACTTTTTAATCAATCATAGGTCGAGGACCATAGTGACTCATATGAAGTATCTGACGTAGAACATATTGGGAAGTATGTATATCAAATGATGCAAGAGCAGTTGGCGTATGCTAAGCAACAAAAAGCGAAATCGGAAGATACATCTGACGAATTGAAAGAATCAGAATAAACGTATACAGTAGTTTTTATTAAATTATATAAAACTTAATGTTACGTATTATGTGAACTTACTAATAAAAAAGGGACGTTTGTAAAAGAACTTATATAAAATTATGAATGTTTATCTAGCAGAGTGCGAAGCGCTTAAATTTAGCATTGCATATTGATATAAAATCCGATTGGCTAAAAATGCATAATTTACATGTATGGTAGTAAAGCGAGATATAACAGTATCGCATTCCCCAGATTAAAAATAAAATCCAATATAAACAAGAATTAAAAATTACATCGTGAAATAATTGCAATCGTATCAAAAAAAAAAAACTTCCAAAAAACGTTATAAGATTACAAATCCTATCATAAAACACAAATGCAAAATCAAATATCACATTATAAATGTATGTGCCTTCAACTCCATATATGGAGCAACATGAAACCCTTCCGACATTGTCAATAGATATAACTGAACTAGTTGAAAAATATCATAAGTCTTATAAGCAACAAACGTAACAAATCATTGATTAAACTTACTAACAGATACCTTAGTCATATTCGAAGAAGATGGCCTCGAAGAATTCAGTAATACATCCACAACAAACAAAAAATATTGAGCACAGTAATGACACAACTAGTTAGTATCAAAATACAACGCATAGATGCCACAAAGCAAAACCAGACCTCACCTTTAAGTTTATTACATATTTGCTGGCTAAAATATAATTTTCTATTAAAAAACCTTTTCTGAATAATAATATCAACCCAACTTATTACAGCTGTTTTCTGATCAACATATCATAAGGAATTCATGATATTTTCCAGATTTCTGGAGTTTTCAAAATCTATTCTAATTGGATCTTTGTAGCTGTTTTCAAAAGATGTGAAAAAGCATTAACTATTATTCAATTTTTATTAATTAGAATTTTCTGATTCTTCGATTTCTAATAGATATATAGAAATCATTGTTTATACCTTTTTGAAAACAGCTATAACTTGGATATATAAGATAACTTTTTACATCTTTTTGAAATTAGTTGTAAAATCAACCTAAATTAGTCTAAATCATAAAAACCCAAACTATAGAGGTTTTTTAGCAAATATATCAAAAAATTTTTTTTGAAGATTTGCATCAATTGCAAACAGCAAAGGTGATTGTAATCAATTTTTTTATATGATATATATTGATTATTAGCTATATATCAATATATATCACTAATGATATATGGGGGTGAGTCAGTAGAAAAGAGACAAATCATTTTTAGTAAAATTATTTTAATTTTTAAATTAAAATATCTTAACAATTATTTAATCAAATTTGCTAAAAATTTTTTTATTTTAATTGTGAAATTATATAAAATTAAAATAAAAAAATTCATTAAATTTAATAAGATAGTTGTTAAAATATTTAATTTTAAAGTCAAGAAAACTTTTACTTAAAAAAAATTTGTCTCTTTTCTACTGACTTATCCCCATATATTATTTAT